CGGGCCCGGGGAGTGTGAACAGAACCTTGGGACATGCCTGACAGACTTGTCCGACCTTGGCATTCCCATCGCACACGATAATACAGTTGGCCCTGCAACATGCTTGACATTCCTCATCTCGAGATCGACACAGTGAATATGCGCGTCAGAATCAAAGACGACTCGAAAGGTGCTGCAATCACTGGTGGGTAAACTCAACTTTATGTGCCGTGCCATTCCCATGGGCAAACCTGTTTGTTGCAGATTCATTGACGCATAAAGCAAGGTAACGCATCAGTCACATCACATACGTCGTTGAGGGAAGATCTAGCCATATGGCTTGCTTTCCTCAACAGTTTTAATGGTGTATCTGTGTTTCAGAATAGTCAATGGTTGGACAGCTCAGCAGGCTTTGGGGCATACTTTCAGGGATGCTGGGTGAACGGGTGCTGGCCGGATGCCTGGGTAACGGACGAACTGACGAAGGACATGACACTCCTGGAGCTTTTTCCTATTGTACTATCGGTACGGCTATGGGGTAACTGTTTCGCCAACTAGAAGGTACTTTTCTTCTGTGATAATCAAGCTGTGGTTTCCATCATCAACAAACAAACATGTAAGGTAGCCTGTATCATGTCTCTAGTCCTACAGCTAGTCCTACTCTGTCTATCACATAACATATGCTTCAAAGCAAAATACATCAGTACCACAAACAATGTAATCGCAGATGCTTTGTCAAGATTTCAGTGGCACCGATTCTGAGCAGCAGCGCCGACAGCAGAGACGCAACCGTCCCCACTTCCGGACAACCTTTGGACCATCTGACAAGGGAGGGGACAGATTGCTACAATGATCACTGGCGAGTAACACATGGTCAACTTACCAAGCAGTGTTACCAAGCAGGGGTTGAGGCGCTGCGGGCATTCAGGACAACATATGGGATCCCAGAAACATGGCAAGTACCATTGGATAATTGTGTTCATTTCATTACAGGGCTTGCACCTAACAAAATAAGAACATACATCACCGGTATTGCAACTTTCTACAAGCTGCGCAATATGCATGACACCACAGGACATTTTATCATTACCAAACCGATACAAGGTATGTATAAAGCCAGTCCAAGAAGGGACCTGCGCAAACCAATCACAATGGAACTGTTAGAGGTAAATGTAACAAATCTAAGGTCAGTATGTTCTTCATTGTATGAAGATTCCCTTTTTCAAGGTGTATACTGTCTGGTGTTCTTTGGATTTTTCCAGGTAAATGAATTGGTACAAACTGGACGACAACACCCAGGCTGTCAGGCTCAAGACATCATCATAGAAGATGGCAACCTGTTAGTTACTCTCAGTCACTCGAAGTCGGACATACTTTCCAAAGGTATTACAATCAGCATCTCCAGCTCTCCGACCTATGGCTTGTGCCCAGTAGCTGCATACAGAGCTTAACTGGGTAAGCGCACAAAAGGATCAAAGCAGGCCTTTGTACATTTTGACCAAACCCTACTAACTAGGTATTAGTTTCAAGCAGTTTTAAAGAAATCCCTTGCTGTCAGTGGGATTGACACTTCCTCCTATACCTCCCATTCTCTCCAGATAGAAGCAGCTACCACGGCAGCGTGCAAGGGTGTTAGTTCATTCAGAGCTAATTCAGCACTTTGGTTGGTGGGAATCTGAGTGTTACAAAACTTACATACGCATTCCATTTTTCATATAATAATCTAATAGGCTCTCAATTTAATAAATAATCAATTTGGGTTTATTGTCCATTCTCCTCCTGTGAGTGATTGTGTGTTTTAGCTTCACTTATCGGGTCCAGTTACCTAGCGAGAGCCAGTAACCAGCGGGGCAATCGGTTTGACAGTGATAACATCCTCTCTCTGGCGAGGGGAGGGATGCAGTGGGCAGAACTCCGGCAATTGGTGAAACGACAAGTGGCCAGGACGACCGACCAAGCCAAGGCCCTTGTGATTCACCTAGGGTCGAACGACCTTGGTCAGGTCACCGCCTGTGAGCTATTTCATGAGATGGAGTTGTCAATGCCCCGGATCTGCCTGCTGCTCCCCAAGACCCCCATCATCTAGTCGGATATGCTTCCTTGCCCCACCAAGCTGGAAAGGACAAGAGCCAAACTCAACAGAATGGCTGGTAACATGGTGCGAGGTGTTGGTGGTATACAGGTCCTCCATCCCCAGTTCAACGCCAGAGACAGGGACCTGTATGCCTTCGACGGTGTACACTTGTCACGGAGAGGCATGGGCATTTTTGTAAACAACATCAGTAAAACCCTGGACTCTTTTCTTAACTATGACTGTGGCAGTGGCAGTGGCAGTGGCAGTGACTGTGGATCTGGCTGTAGCTGTGGCAGTGACTGTGGATCTGGCTGTAGCTGTGGCAGTGACTGTGGATCTGGCTATAACTGTGGCAGTGACTGTGGATCTGGCTATAAATGTGGCTGTGGTGGTGACTGTGGATGTGGCTGTAAATGTGACTGTGACTGTGGCAGTGGCGGTGACGGTGGATCTGGCTATAACTGTGGCGGTGGCTGTAGATGTGACTGCGGCAGTGACTGGCTGTGGTGCTGACTGTGGCAGTGGCGGTGACTGTGGCTGCGACAGTGGTGACTGTGGATGTGGCTGTAGATCTGACTGTGGATGTGGCTATGACCGTGGCGGTGACTGTGGATGTGAATGTAGACGGGACTGTGGCTGTGGCTGTGACTATGACTGTGGATGTGACTGTGGTGGATACTGTAGATTTGATTGTAGATGTGGCTGTGGCTGTGGCTGTGGCTGTGGCTGTGGCAGTGGCTGTGAATGTGGTGGTGACTGTGGCAGCAAATGTGGATGTAGCTAATAGATTAAATGTGTGAATATATATGAATATAAATATGGATTGTGATTGTGATGTACACTAACATATGCATGTGTGTATGTATATGTATGAAATACACAATGCCATTTTAGAAAGTGGTCAAATGTAACATATGTTATGTTTGGGATTACACTTTCTTAGTAAAGTACAGATTCTTGTACTTTTGGGGTTGAGTCCCATCCGGGATTCGAACCCAGACCCTCAGAGTCAGGCACCTAATCGCCAGCACACAAAGTCAGATGCCTAAACCGCTCAGCCACCGCGGCTTCCACAAAAATGGAAGTCAGACAACTGGTGAGGTGAGGTGAAATTGGGTTTTACGCCGTGCTTGAGAAAATTTCGCTCATATGACGACGTGCATGCGTTTGTATGTGTATGTGCGGCTGCTTGTACTAGCCCAGACTTAAGCTGGTTTTATAGTGCTAGCCCACTGAGATACCGTGCCGCAGTGAAGCATAAATATACCCCACTCAGACACATTATACTGACTCTGAGCCAACCAGTCCTTGTTGTACCCATTAATGCCGAACGCCAGGCAGGAACCAACAAGTACCATATTTTAATGTCTTTTGGTATGACGCGGTCGGGGATCGAACCCACGACCTTCCGCTCTCTGGGTGGACGCTCTAACCACTACACCACGGAGGCGGTCCAGACAACTGGTAGCCAAACTGGTATACTGGTAGGCAAAAATGTATATGTATTTATTGTTATGTATATGTTTCAGGACGTTTGTTCTGACGGTGGATCTGGCTATAACTGTGGCTGTGGCTGTAGATGTGACTATGGCTGTGACGGTGACTGTGGATGTGGCTGTAGATCTGACTGTGGCAGTGACTGTGGATGTGACTGTGGTGGTGACTTTAGATTTGATTGTAGATGTGACTGTGGATGTGGATGTGACTGTGGTGGTGACTGTAGATTTGATTGTAGATGTGACTGTGGATGTGGCTGTGGATGTGGTGGTGGATGTGACTGTGGATGTGACTGTGGATGTGGCTGTGACTGTGGATGTGGCTGTGGTGGTGGATGTGACTGTGGTGGTGGATGTGACTGTGGATGTGGATGTGACTGTGGATGTGACTGTGGCGGTGATGGTGGATGTGACTTTAGTGGTGACTGTAGATTTGATTGTAGATGTGACTGTGGATGTGACTGTGGCTGTGGTGGTGGATGTGGCAGTGACTGTGGATGTGAATGTAGATGTGACTGTGGATATGGATGTGACTGTGGTGGTGACTATAGATTTGATTGTAGATGTGACTGTGGCTGTGGCAGTGGCTGTGGCTGTGGATGTGGCAGTGACTGTGGAGGTGACCGTGGTGACTGTGGCGGTGACTGAAGAGGTGACCGTGGTGACTGTGGAGGTGACCGTGGTGACTGTGGCGGTGACTGTGGCGGTGACTGTGGATGTGGCAGTGACTATGGCTGTGATGGTGACTGAGGATGTGGTTATAACTGTGGCGGTGACTGTGGATGTGACTGTAGACATGACTGTGGTGGTGACTGTGGCTATGGCTGTGGATGTAACTGTGCATGTGTCTGTGATTGTAGCAGTGACTGTAGATGTGGGAGTGACTGTGGATGTGGCAGTGACTGTGGATGTGGGAGTGACAGTGGATGTGGGAGTGACTGTGGATGTGGCAGTGACTGTGGATGTGGGAGTGACTGTGGATGTGGCAGTGGCTGTGGCAGTGACTGTGGATGTGTGAGTGACTGTGGATGTGACTGTGGCGCTGACTGTGGATGTGGGAGTGACTGTAGATGTGGGAGTGACTGTGGATGTGGGAGTGACTGTAGATGTGGCTGTGGCTGTGGCAGTGACTGTGGATGTGGGAGTGACTGTAGATGTGGGAGTGACTGTGGATGTGGGAGTGACTGTGGATGTGGGAGTTACTGTGGATGTGGCGGTGACTGTGGATGTGGCAGTGACTGTGGATGTGGGAGTGACTGTGGATGTGGCAGTGACTGTGGATGTGGGAGTGACTGTGGATGTGGGAGTGACTGTGGATATGGTAGTGACCGTGGATGTGGCTGTGACTGTGGATGTGGGAGTGACTGTAGATGTGGGAGTGACTGTAGATGTGGCTGTGGCTGTGGATGTGGCAGTGACTGTAGATGTGGGAGTGACTGTGGATGTGGGAGTTACTGTGGATGTGGCGGTGACTGTGGATGTGGCAGTGACTGTGGATGTGGGAGTGACTGTGGATGTGGCAGTGACTGTGGATGTGGGAGTGACTGTGGATGTGGGAGTGACTGTGGATATGGTAGTGACCGTGGATGTGGCTGTGACTGTGGATGTGGGAGTGACTGTAGATGTGGGAGTGACTGTAGATGTGGCTGTGGCTGTGGATGTGGCAGTGACTGTAGATGTGGGAGTGACTGTGGATGTGGGAGTGACTGTAGATGTGGGAGTGACTGTGGATGTGGGAGTGACTGTAGATGTGGGAGTGACTGTGGATGTGAAAGTGACTGTGGATGTGGCTGTGGCTGTGGGAGTGACTGTAGTGGTGACTGTAGATTTGATTGTAGATGTGACTGTGGATGTGGCAGTGACTGTGGATGTGGGAGTGACTGTGTGACTGTAGATGGGAGGACTGTGGATGGACTGGGAGGACTGTGACAGTGACTGTGTGGGATGTGGGAGTGACTGTAGATGGTAGACTGACTGTGTGGATGTGGGGATGTGACTGTAGACTGTATGGGAGTGACTGTGGATGTGGGAGTGACTGTAGATGTGGGAGTGACTGTGGATGTGAAAGTGACTGTGGATGTGGCTGTGACTGTGGATGTAACTGTGGCTGTGGTGGTGGATGTGGCAGTGACTGTGGATGTGAATGTAGATGGGACTGTGGTGGTGACTGTACATTTGATTGTAGATGTGACTGTGGATATGGATGTGACTGTGGTGGTGACTATAGATTTGATTGTAGATGTGACTGTGGATGTGACTGTGGCTGTGGCAGTGACTGTGGAGGTGACCGTGGTGACTTTGGCGGTGACTGAAGAGGTGACCGTGGTGACTGTGGCAGTGACTGTGGAGGTGACCGTGGTGACTGTGGCGATGACTGTGGATGTGGCAGTGACTATGGCTGTGATGGTGACTGAGGATGTGGCTACAACTGTGGCGGTGACTGTGGATGTGACTGTAGACATGACTGTGGTGGTGACTGTGGCTATGGCTGTGGATGTAACTGTGCATGTGTCTGTGATTGTAGCAGTGACTGTAGATGTGGGAGTGACTGTGGATGTGGCAGTGACTGTGGATGTGGGAGTGACAGTGGATGTGGGAGTGACTGTGGATGTGGCAGTGACTGTGGATATGGGAGTGACTGTGGATGTGGCAGTGGCTGTGGCAGTGACTGTGGATGTGTGAGTGACTGTGGATGTGACTGTGGCGCTGACTGTGGATGTGGGAGTGACTGTAGATGTGGGAGTGACTGTGGATGTGGGAGTGACTGTAGATGTGGCTGTGGCTGTGGCAGTGACTGTGGATGTGGGAGTGACTGTAGATGTGGGAGTGACTGTGGATGTGGGAGTGACTGTGGATGTGGATGTGACTGTGGATGTGGGAGTGACTGTGGATGTGGTGGTGACTGTGGATGTGACTGTGGATGTGGATGTGGCGGTGACTGTAGATGTAGGAGTGACTGTGGATGTGGAGAGTGACTGTGGATGTGGTGGTGACTGTGGATGTGACTGTGACTGTGGATGTGGCTGTAGATGTGGGAGTGACTGTGGATGTGACTTTGACTGTGGATGTGGCGGTGACTGTAGATGTGGGAGTGACTGTGGATGTGACTGTGACCGTGGATGTGGCTGTGACTGTGGATGTGGGAGTGACTGTGGATGTGGCGGTGACTGTGGCAGTGAATATTGCTATGTCTGTAGACGTGGCTGCTCATTATCATGTATATGTTTGTCTGTAACTATGTTTGTTATGTATGTATGTATTTTTAAGTGTTTATACATGGGTTATACACTGTATGTTACCCAGTTTTCAGCTGCAGCCGTGGGACTGACTTCTCTGTCCTGTAAATAGATGAGTGCGCACGCACGCTCGTTCCACACATGCATGCTTGCGTGGTAGAGTGCTGTCTCTCGGTAGAGCACCTGTCTGTCCATGGCCTGTGGGAGTGAAACTTAAATAATATAAATTATTACCCCTATTTTGAGGGGTTAGGGTTAAGGGTTAGGCTTAGGTTTAGGCCTTTTACGAAAAAAAACCATCTATTCTAAGAGACAGAATGATAATAAAAAATGGGGTTACGGGCGGAAATCTTTCCTGCAGTTGGTATAATCAACTGGTGCAGTCAGTCCATGACCCAGTACAACCCACAGGGTACACTTGTAACTCTTTGTGTGTACTTATAAGAAAACTAGTCTCTATGCATATCATATGTATACACAGTCAGTGTAGTTTATCCTTGAATGTCTTTGATAAATGTATTAGTTAACTACCACGTCATCCATTTGATTAAATGGGTGAATATATATGAATATAAATATGGATTGTGATGTACACCAACATATGCATGTGTGTGTGTATATGTATTTATTGTTATGTATATGTTTCAGGGCGTTTGTTCTGACTCCCAAATAAATCCTTGAAACTCAAACCCGACTTGTGTGTCATATTGAACAGCTCCCCGGTTACATTCTTAACTCTGAACACGTTTACAAGAATTTCTAAAACACCTGAAAATATCCAGACTTTGATTAAATATCTCTATGAGCTCTGAGAGCCTTGTGCTTATCATGCTTTAACTCCTCTAATTCTTGATCCCACCATGGAGGCTGCTCCCTGTCACTATCACCTTTACACACAGGAGGGTACACACTTTAGTGTGGGCTGAAGCATGATGAAGTAACTTTACACACAGGAGGGTACACACTATAGTGTGGGCTGAAGCATGATGAAGTAACTTTACACACAGGAGGGTACACACTTTAGTGTGGGCGGCAGCATGGTGAAGTAACTTTACACACAGGAGGGTACACACTTTAGTGTGGGCGGCAGCATGGTGAAGTAAGTAACTTTACACACAGGAGGGTACACACTTTAGTGTGGGCTGCAGCATGGTGAAGTAACTTTACACACAGGAGGGTACACACTTTAGTGTGGGCTGCAGCATGGTGAAGTAACTTCACACACAGGAGGGTACACACTTTAGTGTGGGCTGCAGCATGGTGAAGTAACTTTACACACAGGAGGGTACACACTTTAGTGTGGGCTGCAGCATGGTGAAGTAACTTTACACACAGGAGGGTACACACTTTAGTGTGGGCTGCAGCATGGTGAAGTAACTTTACACACAGGAGGGTACACACTTTAGTGTGGGCTGCAGCATGGTGAAGTAACTTCACACACAGGAGGGTACACACTTTAGTGTGGGCTGAAGCATGGTGAAGTAACTTCACACACACAGAGGGTACACACTTTAGTGTGGGCTGCAAGTAACACACACAGGAGGGTACACACTTTAGTGTGGGCTGCAGCATGGTGGTAACTTTACACACACAGGAGGGTACACACTTTAGTGTGGGCGGCAAGCATGGTGAAGTAACTTCACACACAAGCATGGTGAAGTAACTTCACACACAGGAGGGTACACACTTTAGTGTGGGCTGCAGCATGGTGAAGTAACTTCACACAGGAGGGTACACACTTTAGTGTGGGCTGCAGCATGGTGAAGTAACTTCACACACAGGAGGGTACACACTTTAGTGTGGGCAGCAGCATGGTGAAGTAACTTTATAAACACATGTATTCAGTCATCAACACATGTATTCAATAGGTGTAACAAATCACCAACAGATTCAGCAAATAAATACTCAAAGTGTGAGATTAACTTATTTTATGTGTCCTTTGACCATACATATTTGATCCATGTTTCATTTACTTCATCAGACACAGTGTCATTAGCCCTACTGTCAGTGGGAAGGTTTGTTTGCATGATTCTAAGCACTAAAGAATAGTGGAACCATCTAAAGTCTGATTTTGTATGGGCTTGCAATATACTCCTTTAATAGGATTTCCATTGCCCTGAACAACCTTTCTGTTTTTTAATGCCGTATAAGAGTCCCATGCTAAAGATTGTCTTGCCAAAAACAGTTTGTTTTTTTATTTATAACTCTTTGATTTCTAAATGTTTCACCCTTTAGGAGGAGATCTTGTATATTTTGTGACATGTTGTAGGAAAAGATAGCAGTCAATTCCGAGTCATTTAAAAGCATTCTCTTAAACCAAGCTATTGTTTGAGCATTGATAGTCTGTTTTATGTCAGGCATTCTTAAACTGCCCTCTTCATATTTTTGTTTTATGATATCACCTTTAATTTTATCAGGTTTATTGTACCATAGAAAGGAGAAACAGCTGCTGTTTATCCCAGAGTAACAACTCTGTTTTGCTGTCCTTTAGTCTGAGATAAAACTTCTGCAAACAAAATATGCAAGAAATATTTTGTGTGTTTGAGATTGATAGAAGTTCCCTAGAATCACACTTAGATATAAAAGTTCATAAAAAAGCAATTTGAAATTACAATCGCTTGTTAAAGTGACTCCCCCCTTCATGTTGAGCTTGTTTTGGAGACACTACCCATCCCCCTTTCAGATCCCCCTTTCCCCGACCGCGTCATACCAAAAGACGTTAAAATATGGTACTTGTTGGTCACTGCCTGGCGCTCGGCATTTATGGGTACAACAAGGACTGGTCGGCTCGGAGTCAGTATAATGTCTGAGTGGGGTATTCATGCTTGACAGCGGCATGGTTTCTCAGTGGGCTAGCACGATAATACCAGCTTCAGTCTGGGCTAGTACAAGCAGCCACACATACACATACACACGCATGCACGTAGTCATATGAGCGAAATATTCTCAAGCACGACGTTAAACCCAATTTCACCTCACCTTCGGATGATGTAATCATAAGGGCATGGCTTATTGTAATGTTTTTACTATGCATACATGATGCCAAGGGTTCAAACTAAATACTGAATGGTCACACAAGTGTCAGCTCACAATATATTGTTAACAGTGCCAGCCTGAATATCTGGACACAATGTTTTTAAAAGATTAAAATGCTAGTGTCCTTAAAAAATAGCCCCCGGCTAAATATAAATCAGGCAATGCAAATCTTTGACTGTTGATCATGATGGAAAGTCATCCAATACTATACTGAACATATTTTATATGACATTATCTGAGGGCATACCATTATCCAAGAGGTACCAAAAGACAAATTGTCTTTTTATTTTCTGCAATTTTGTTATAAATATTACACCCCAATGTGTTGTGATGACATATATCTGGTTAACCACATTACCCACACACATTTGAAATTTTGGACATGGCTTTGCTAACAATTCCTTCGAAATAAAATGGAAGCTTTTCAAACATTGGACATCGAGAATATAGTAAGGCTACGTACTTTTTGATCAACCCTCGTACCTGTGCCAGGAATCTTGGAGTTACATTTCAGAGTAACATGTCCATGGAACAATACGTCAATCAATTGTCAAAATCTTGACAATTCTCCACTATCAAAACTTCAGAGAACTCAAAACGCTGCAGCACACCTCATTACTCGTTCTCGGCGCTCTCCCTTTGTTCTGTGGAGACCCGTGAAGATCCAGTGTAACAGGCCAAACTTTCCCCCTGGCCAAACCTTCCCCGAGAAAGTTTGTCCTTCCCCAAACTTTCCCCACCCTTGAATTAACTTTAGAGGCTACTTCTTTCCCACCCTTGTTCTTATATCAAAAGGGGGAGATTCTGGCCAAGCTAGGCTATTTCTTTCACCAACCTTGTTTTCATGTTTATGTTCGTCTTGAAAAAGTCAGAAACGAAAACAAGACATAGCTATTCACGTGATAAGATATTCATGTTGACGTCAAGTTCCATTAACAATATACAGGTCATCTTCATCTTCATATATAACATGTACATGGTTCACATTTTGTTTCAATATCCTAATATCAGGTAAGATTAGAAAGAAAAGCAAGCAATAGTTTTGTATCAGTATGTATCTCTGTGACATGGGTACTAAGATATAAACAACCACTGGTTTGACCCAACACAATTCCCTAATTCCAAATTATTAAAAATAATTGAATATTACAAAATGTATCTTTACTTAATTATGTTATATCATTACTATTCTTTTATGTTATCATTTACTTATTTTTATTTTTCAATAATTTACTTATCTCCACTTATTCCAAATTAGCTTATCTCAAAATCATTACTATAATCGAAACTTTAACTAAATACCCATTTTCTACTTGGATGTTCATTTCCATTCAAAATTTTATTCCCTCACTCATGGCTTTAAATATGGCATCCATGTCGACGACATCAACTTAACAGTTGGAAGCAGACGTAAACATCAACACAACAACAACACAACACAATATCCCTATCAAATACTGTATCATCTATCATTCCACTATAGTGCCTTATTCTAAATTCAAAAGACACAGTTTGATAAGGGGTATACTTGGTCCATGGATATCTGAAATATATTTCATTCACAAAGAGTGATTATGGATTAGTAAACAAACTTATGTGAATAATGTTCCATTACATTTATACATAAATACAAAAAATATTAGATAATAAACACCATGATAAGAGAGCAAGCAACCTGTGTATATTACATCTTATTTACCCATCAAATGTGCGATTGAATGTTTACATCTTATGGTGACATGATTTGGACCACCCTCGATAATCTCCAGGGTATACTTTCCGATAAATCTCCACTATACCCTGGATGAATCTACGGCTTGAGCCGATGGTTTTCTTACCTCCCTTGGTTGGCTTTTTATCCAATCAGGTGTTTACGTGGGAAGTTGAGCGTACCAATCATAACTGACTTTTGCTATTTAAATTACCTAACCAATTAAACTTGGCAACACAATAGCACATTGTTGCAGAGGTACCCTGAAAGAGGGAGAAGGAGTTCTTGCATATATTTTTTTAAGATTTCAGACATGTCAATTTGTCTGTATGTTTTCCCCCCAAATCTGAGTAGCACTGTGAACAAACATTTGAGGCTGCGACCGCGCTCTTTGTTGACACTGGCAAGCTCAGTTGTAATGGCGGCTCATCTGATTGGCTACTGTGAGAATGCGGAGCCAGCAAAGGGAGGTAATTATATCACTGGCTTGAGCCATAGATGCATCCAGGGTATAGTGAAGATTTATCGGAACGTATACCCTGGAGATTATCGAGGATGGATCTGGACAGATGAAGAAGAAATGCAATGGGTCTTGATAGGAATGGCGGATTTACAGATATGTATGCCGTTCAAACATGCATGCATTCAAATCACTACACCCAAGTCAGAGGCACCAATAGACTATTTGGCAAAAATGTGTACCAAACTTTAAGTCAAAACTACTGTTGGTTTGATGTTTGTAATAACTTGTTCTCCCTCTTTTGATATTAGAACAAGACAGAACAAAATATTCTAGTTTAAACAGGGGAGGGGGGGGGACCTTTGGCGGTATATCCTAGGACAATACTTCCCCATGGAAAGTTTGGCCTAGGCCAGATTCTCCCTAGGGAAAGTTCAGACCGGGGAAGAAATGGCCTGCTACACCGAGTTAGAATTGATCTTCAGTAACCATACTTGTTGTAGAGGTGAGTAACGGGATCGGGTGGTCAGGCTCGCTGACTTGGTTGACACATGTTATCGTATCCCATTTGCGTAGATCGATGCTCATGCTGTTGATTACTGGTCCAGACTCGATTGTTTACAGACTGCCGCCATATAGCTGGAATATTGCTAAGTTAACTCAATCACTCACTCACATTCTGTGGACCAGGTTTCTCCTATTTACTCCACTTCCGCCCATATCCCCCTAATTTTAACGATGGGGAAAAAGATATCTATATATTCAGGTAATATCATTTAACTAGAAGCCATAAAATAATGGTCAGGGTTAGGTTTAGGGTTAGGGTTAGGGTTTAGGGTCAGGTTTAGAGTTTGGCTAGTGCCTTGCAAAATGAAATATAAGTGTGGGATACAGGCGGAAGTCTTTCCCAAAACAAGCATGGGTGACAGAGCTTTCTCTTCCGCACCTGCCCACCTTTGGTCTTTCCCTATCTCTCAGATCACCAATGGCGACAGCAAACTTCAAATCAGATATAAAGACACATCTCTTTCTTCAAGCACACCATACTGACTGTCTTCTTGTGTTTCTGTCTTTACATGTTTTTAACTTTGTTCAGCGCCACTGAGCACCTTACCCACGGATTTTAAGCGCTATAGATATGCATTATTATCACTATTATTATCACTATTATCCTAACTTCAGATTCAAAGGAAGATGAATGAGGGTCGTGCATCACATGATCCACAAAGTTAGATACTGGCATCACTTGTGATGGGTTTTGACACTCAGTTTAAACTCCCGGAGTGTGGGCCGACCTGAGGTATATGGTTTGTCACGTACAATCTCAGAATGACTTGATCTGCTGTGAATGACCAGTCTACCTAACATAAAGTCAAGAAAAGCTTGTGGATGGATTCCTTCTGAATCCGAAGGTGAAGTAAAAAGCATTATTTTGAAAACTTTTAGATATAAATTAAAATTCACTTCAGAAGAGTTTTTCTTCAGGACCAGAAATAGTTGGGATAAAACCCCAATAGGTGTCTGATTGTGGAAGCTCACAGACAGCTCTTTTGTTCTGTACATGTTATATGGCAAGACCTACTGACATTAACTTTCTACTCTCGTGGATGAGACATGAGCAAAGGTCGAGTCCAGAAGTGAACTTTCTAGCCATGGGGGACTTACGTCTGGAATCCAACTGTCAACTTCAATTCTCCTGTACGTACCATGCAATGATAACATTACATACCCATACACCAACAACAGACATCAAAATGAACATTGGCCCGGTCGCAGTGTTGACACACAGCAGTTTATTCACAAGTGGTAACATACACACTCGCAACATTCCATAAACACATAAAACACAAACCTCACTTCAACATTACATCATTAAGTGCGGAACCGCTGTCCGACACGTAAACCAGAGATCAAAAACTCCATTTAAGAGAAAATTACTCTGGACCGTGTTCTCCCAACGAAGTCAACGGCCCCTTACTGGGAGTTTACAGCTTAACCTTTCATGTACTGAACAGGCCACAAATGCAACATGTGAAGTGTTCCATACAACATAGCAGGGAAATCCAATCCTCAGTCCAAACAGGACAAGTTCCATGTGAAGTTGTATTATCAAAGCTTCCCAGCCTATTACACAGAAACTACAGCTCTGTATATGTACATGTAAAGCAGATTTATGATAGTGCTGTATATACAAACTTATATTCCGTATTATCTCGGCTCGACAGCCACATGCACAAATATTTAAACAACAAACGTATCAAAAGACTTGTCAGCCTAAGTTCCTGAATTAGGAAAGTTTAATGAGTAATAAAGGCTCACTATCCAGCTGGAACATACAAAATAAAGGCTGACCCGACAAGGGAAGATCCACTCTCACGAACATACAAAATACAGGCTGACACAACAAGGGAAGATTCACTCTCATGAACATACTAAATACAGGCTGACCCGACAAGGGAAGATCCACTCTCACGAACATACTAAATACAGGCTGACCTAACAAGGGAAGATTCACTCTCATGAACATACTAAATACAGGATGACCCGACAAGGGAAGATTCACTCTCATGAACATACTAAATACAGGCTGACCTAACAAGGGAAGATCCACTCTCACGAACATACTAAATACGACAAGGGAAGATTCACTCTCACGAACATACAAAATACAGGCTGACCCGACATGGGAAGATCCACTCTCACGAAGATTACAGGCTGACACAACAAGGGAAGATTCACTCTCATGAACATACTAAATACAGGATGACCCGACAAGGGAAGATTCACTCTCACGAACATACAAAATACAGGCCAACCCGACATGAGAAGATTCACTCTCATGAGCATCACACAGACGAACTGTCAGCTGATAGCTACCAGCTGTAGGAACTGTGAGGGAACAATCTAGTTGTGTATACCTGACAACTAGTTGTGTATACCTGACAGCGAAGAATACTTCTGTTGAAAGTTCAGTGTGATATCAGCTACTAATACAGAATATATATCAATGATAAAGCCAGAAGTGGCAAAACACACAGACACACTGTGCTTTCTTGAAACATATAATAAATTTACATTCAACCAGTCGTCTTGCCAGATTCACCCAGAATGCTGACAGTGAAGCCAGTACAAATACCATCTGTTGAGTGAGACTGTCAGTGCTCGACTTGAAGACTTCATCTACATCACCCATCTTCTGGTCTGTGAAGCCTTTAATGAAGAATATTCAACAGTTTCACCATAACACGGTAACTGATCCCATTTAGAGGAAACAGTGGACATGTTTTGTGACAGAAGTTAAACATTTTACAAATGTCTGAAAAAGAATTATAGCAAAAATATCACAGTGTATTTCTTGTTTGATGTTTAACATAAAATTAATCTTAGCAGAATTTGGTTTTGAAAACATACATAACAATATACCGTTTTCCTAAATATCCCACAATGCCCCTGTGTGTTATTAGTTCTGTGTTAACATCCAAACATTTAATATAGGATAAAAACCAAACAGTTTCACAAAGAAAATGTGCAATTTTCTCTTAACCTTATGAAACTTTCCATCATGAAATACTAACGTCATTCCATAATCCATGACCTTACCAGAACTTTATGACTTGAGCCATAATCAGCCAAGACTTCAATCTATGTAGTTTTCTGTAGCCTGACATCCATACACTGCCATCAACCTTTCACAGGGCTACTGCATTCACCCTCAATGCAACACCATTATTTGTGCCTGCTTCAAACTAACTTGCCTTCAGCCATCATTAGCCAGGACACAATAATTGTATCATCGGGCCCGACATCCATACACTGCCATCAACCTTCCACAGGGCTACTGCATTCACCCTCAATGCAACATCATTATTTGTGCCTGCTTCAAGCTAACTCGCCTTTAGCCATCATTAGCCAGGACACAATAATTGTATCGTCGGGCCCGACATCCATACACTGCCATCAACCTTCCACAGGGCTACTGCATTCACCCTCAATGCAACACCATTATTTGTGCCTGCTTCAAGCTAACTCGCCTTTAGCCATCATTAGCCAGGACACAATAATTGTATCGTCGGGCCCGACATCCATACACTGCCATCAACCTTCCACAGGGCTACTGCATTCACCCTCAATGCAACATCATTATTTGTGCCTGCTTCAAGCTAACTCGCCTTTAGCCATCATTAGCCAGGACACAATAATTGTATCGTCGGGCCCGACATCCATACACTGCCATCAACCTTCCACAGGGCTACTGCATTCACCCTCAATGCAACACCATTATTTGTGCCTGCTTCAAGCTAACTCGCCTTTAGCCATCATTAGCCAGGACACAATAATTGTATCGTCGGGCCCGACATCCATAAACTGCCATCAACCTTCCACAGGGCTACTGCATTCACCCTCAATGCAACATCATTATTTGTGCCTGCTTCAAGCTAACTTGCCTTTAGCCATCATTAGCCAGGACACAATAATTGTATCGTCGGGCCCGACATCCATACACTGCCATCAACCTTCCACAGGGCTACTGCATTCACCCTCAATGCAACATCATTATTTTTGGCTGCTTCAAGCTAACTCGTCTTTAGCCATCATTAGCCAGGACACAATAATTGTATCGTCGGGCCCGACATCCATACACTGCCATCAACCTTCCACAGGGCTACTGCATTCACCCTCAATGCAACACCATTATTTGTGCCTGCTTCAAGCTAACTCGCCTTTAGCCATCATTAGCCAGGACACAATAATTGTATCGTCGGGCCCGACATCCATACACTGCCATCAACCTTCCACAGGGCTACTGCATTCACCCTCAATGCAACATCATTATTTGTGCCTGCTTCAAGCCAACTCGCCTTTAGCCATCATTAGCCAGGACACAATAATTGTATCGTCGGGCCCGACATCCATACACTGCCATCAACCTTCCACAGGGCTACTGCATTCACCCTCAATGCAACACCATTATTTGTGCCTGCTTCAAGCTAACTCGCCTTTAGCCATCATTAGCCAGGACACAATAATTGTATCGTCGGGCCCGACATCCATACACTGCCATCAACCTTCCACAGGGCTACTGCATTCACCCTCAATGCAACACCATTATTTGTGCCTGCTTCAAGCTAACTCGCCTTTAGCCATCATTAGCCAGGACACAATAATTGTATCGTCGGGCCCGACATCCATACACTGCCATCAACCTTCCACAGGGCTACTGCATTCACCCTCAATGCAACACCATTATTTGTGCCTGCTTCAAGCTAACTCGCCTTTAGCCATCATTAGCCAGGACACAATAATAGGTAGAGTCGGGCCCGACATCCATACACTGCCATCAACCTTCCACAGGGCTACTGCATTCACCCTCAATGCAACATCATTATTTGTGCCTGCTTCAAGCTGCTTCCATCATTAGCCAGGACACAATCAAGGGCTACTGACCATCATGGTGCATGGTTAGAGCATCTGCCCGAGACAGGGCTACTGCATTTGGTTCGATCCCCGCCACGTCATACCAAAATACGCTAACATATGGTACTTGTTGGTCCCTGCCTGGCTACAGCATTACCCTACAACAAGCACTGGTCGGCTCGAGTCAGTTTAATGTGTATCTTGCCAGTGGGCTGGCACTATAAAACCAGCTTCAGTCTGGGCATACAAACAGCCGCATATACACATACACATCCATACACGTCGTCATATGAGCAAAATATTCTCAAGCATGACGTTAAACCCAATTTCACCTCACCTCACCAAAGAACTACTGCATTCACCCTCAATGCAACACCATTATTTGGGCCTGCTTCAAGCTAACTCGCCTTTAGCCATCATTAGCCAGGACACAATAATTGTATCGTCGGGCCTGACATCCATACACTGCCATCAACCTTCCACAGGGCTACTGCATTCACCCTCAATGCAACACCATTATTTGTGCCTGCTTCAAGCTAACTCGCCTTTAGCCATCATTAGCCAGGACACAATAATTGTATCGTCGGGCCCGACATCCATACACTGCCATCAACCTTCCACAGGGCTACTGCATTCACCCTCAATGCAACACCATTATTTGCCTCTGCTTCAAGCTAACTCGCCTTTAGCCATCATTAGCCAGGACACAATAATTGGTATTGTCGGGCCCGACATCCATACACTGCCATCAACCTTCCACAGGGCTACTGCATTCACCCTCAATGCAACACCATTATTTGTGCCTGCTTCAAGCTAACTCGCCTTTAGCCATCATTAGCCAGGACACAATAATTGGTATCGTCGGGCCCGACATCCATACACTGCCATCAACCTTCCACAGGGCTACTGCATTCACCCTCAATGCAACACCATTATTTGTGCCTGCTTCAAGCTAACGTCTTAGCCTTTAGCCATCATTAGCCAGGACACAATAATTGCATCGTCGGGCCCTTCCATACACTGCCATCAACCTTCCACAGGGCTACTGCATTCACCCTCAATGCAACACCATTATTTGTGCCTGCTTCAAGAACATTAAAGTCAGCCTTTAGCCATCATTAGCCACAGACACAATAATGCATTCTATTAACATTGAAAGACCCCATAACCTATTAGTATTTACAGGAAGTAAAGCATTCATACTGCATGAGGATGCAACATCATTATTTGTGCCTGCTTCAAGCTAACTAGCCTTTAGCCATCATTAGCCAGGACACAATAATTGTATCGTCGGGCCCGACATCCATACACTGCCATCAACCTTCCACAGGGCTACTGCATTCACCCTCAATGCAACACCATTATTTGTGCCTGCTTCAAGCTAACTCGCCTTTAGCCATCATTAGCCAGGACACAATAATTGTATCGTCGGGCCCGACATCCATACACTGCCATCAACCTTCCACAGGGCTACTGCATTCACCCTCAATGCAACATCATTATTTGTGCCTGCTTCAAGCTAACTCGCCTTTAGCCATCATTAGCCAGGACACAATAATTGTATCGTCGGGCCCGACATCCATACACTGCCATCAACCTTCCACAGGGCTACTGCATTCACCCTCAATGCAACACCATTATTTGTGCCTGCTTCAAGCTAACTCGCCTTTAGCCATCATTAGCCAGGACACAATAATTGTATCGTCGGGCCCGACATCCATACACTGCCATCAACCTTCCACAGGGCTACTGCATTCACCCTCAATGCAACACCATTATTTGTGCCTGCTTCAAGCTAACTCGCCTTTAGCCATCATTAGCCAGGACACAATAATTGTATCGTCGGGCCCGACATCCATACACTGCCATCAACCTTCCACAGGGCTACTGCATTCACCCTCAATGCAACATCATTATTTGCCTCTGCTTCAAGCTAACTCGCCTTTAGCCATCATTAGCCAGGACACAATAATTGTATCGTCGGGCCCGACATCCATACACTGCCATCAACCTTCCACAGGGCTACTGCATTCACCCTCAATGCAACACCATTATTTGTGCCTGCTTCAAGCTAACTAGCCTTTAGCCATCATTAGCCAGGACACAATAATTGTATCGTCGGGCCCGACATCCATACACTGCCATCAACCTTCCACAGGGCTACTGCATTCACCCTCAATGCAACACCATTATTTGTTGCCATGATCAGTGAAATGCCTTTGTCGTTCAAAGTCCAGGACTTACACTGCCATATGTGTCACAATTTGTTTGTGGTGTCCATCACCTAATAAAGAAGGACACAACACTTCACTCTCAGTAGCAAGTTCTTCACAAAACATTTCAAGAACATTAATGTCATAAACCCTGCCATCAATGTAACAGTGACAATATTGCACATTCTATTAATTGAAAGACCCCTTTAACCTATTAGTATTTACAGGAAGTAAAGCATGACATACTCATGAGGAATGCAACATCATTATTTGTGCCTGCTTCAAGCTAACTAGCCTTTAGCCATCATTAGCCAGGACACAATAATTGTATCGTCGGGCCCGACATCCATACACTGCCATCAACCTTCCACAGGGCTACTGCATTCACCCTCAATGCAACACCATTATTTGTGCCTGCTTCAAGCTAACTCGCCTTTAGCCATCATTAGCCAGGACACAATAATTGTATCGTCGGGCCTGACATCCATACACTGCCATCAACCTTCCACAGGGCTACTGCATTCACCCTCAATGCAACACCATTATTTGTGCCTGCTTCAAGCTAACTCGCCTTTAGCCATCATTAGCCAGGACACAATAATTGTATCGTCGGGCCCGACATCCATACACTGCCATCAACCTTCCACAGGGCTACTGGACCGCCTCCATTTAGACCCTCAATTGTGGGTTCGATCCCCGCCAATACCATTATTGGTACTTGTTGGTCCTGCCTCGCCTTTAGCCATCAACAAGTACTGGTCGGACACAATCAGTATAATGTGTCTGAGTGGGGTATTCATGCTTCACTGTGGCATGGTATCTCAGTGGGCTGGCACTATAAAACCAGCTTCAGTCTGGGCTAGTACAAACAGCCGCATATACACATTCACATCCATACACGTCGTCATATGAGCAAAATATTCTCAAGCATGACGTTAAACCCATTTCACCTTCCACCAAAGGGCTACTGCATTCACCCTCAATGCAACACCATTATTTGTGCCTGCTTCAAGCTAACTCGCCTTTAGCCATCATTAGCCAGGACACAATAATTGTATCGTCGGGCCCGACATCCATACACTGCCATCAACCTTCCACAGGGCTACTGCATTCACCCTCAATGC